ATAGAAATTTCTGCAATTACTAGAATTTCCAGATAATTACCGGAATTACCAAAAATTCTTCTATTTTTTGTGGATAGGGCTCCTTAAATCTACATCTATCTTATTATATCGTATAGATATAATTTGAGAATTATAGAAATTTCTTGGTAATTTCGTCCGCATGTGCTGGTATTTTTCGTAATTACTGATAAATGTCCTTTTGTGGATTTGGCATTTACGGAAATTATCTGCTAATTTCGTTCTCTAGTATGAGTAATTACTGAAGTTTCCAAAAAGTTTGTTTTCTGTGTTGAAGGTAATTTCCGAAATTTCTAGGAAATTTCTTTATTTGTGTTTATGTTTGTTTTTGAATAGGATTGAGCGGAACACCTCTTTACAAAATTTTATATTGAACTATGCTGTGGCTTTTACCTAAGTGCAATTACAGACACTTTGTTCAGAGCTTCTTTCTGTACAAAACGCCTTTTCGTCAAAAATGAGGATTTAAGAGAAACGAAAATCGAAGTGATCTGTATAAAAACTCCAATAGTACATATTGTAGGGTAGTTTCTGTTCTACAAGCTGATATATCAATAAAGATTCCAACATTTATTTTTAAGTCGCGATAGTAAAAGTACTAAAGTGTACGAAAAAATTTTTCGTCCAAACTAATAATCATCTCATTATAATTCATAGCTGTTGACTTCTCGGAAGTACTTTCAAGGCAGTAAAAAAATAAATAAATGTTTTCTTTCAAAACTTTCAGCCTCTCCGTTATCAAAAAACAAAAAAATTAGTGTTTTTGTTTTTAGGTTGTACAGCAAGTGTTGCATTTGTTCGTGGAAATAAATTATATATTGGTCATGTTGGTGATTCAGCTATTGTCTTAGGTGAAGGTGAAACCTTATATAAACCATGGTTACCCAATCGTCTAACACGTGATCATAAACCTGAAGATCCACTTGAATTAAAACGTATACGTGAAAGTGGTGGAAATGTTCTTTGTAAAGCTGGTGTTCATCGTGTTGTTTGGAATAGACAAAAAAGCACAACAACATCATCACATCAATATCGTCATCGACATCAACATTCAATAACAACAACAACGACAACAGCAGGAACAACAATTGAATATGAACAAATACCATTTTTAGCTGTTTCACGAGCATTAGGAGATTTATGGAGTTTAAATACAAATACAAATCTTTATTCTGTTTCACCTGAACCTGAATTAACTGTTATTGAAATTGATCCAAATAAACATCGATGTTTAATATTAGCAAGTGATGGTCTTTGGAATATGATAACACCAGAAGCAGCTGTAGAAATTGTTCGAAACTGTGATGTTAAAACAGAAGAAATGATTCTTAAATCAGAAGTTTGTTTTTTTTTTGTCTATTAAAAATTCAGTTACAAAAAAAAAAGTTACTTTCATAGGATGATGATCATCGACCATTTCGTAATCCATCTCATGAACTTGTACAAAAAGCTTTAACATTATGGCGTGAACGAATGTTACGTTCTGATAATATAACTTGTGTTACAGTTATGCTTGATCCACCTGGACCACCATTTAGTGATTGTATTGTTAAAAAGAAAAAAGAAAGATCAACCTATTCTATGTCATCATGTATATATTAATATACAAGATTTTTGTTTTTATTTGTTTTATAAATATTTTTTCTTTCAGCAACAAATTCAGTTTGTTCAGATGATACAATTGAATTAGATCATCCATCACCACTCACTCCAACAACAATGGCTATAACAACACCTCAACGACGTAAACCTGCTTTAGAACGTAAAGAACATATTCTAACACCAATATCAAATGGACCAACACCTGTGCGGGTACGTTTTTCTTTTTCATTTACTTATGATTCTATATCCCATGAAAGAGAAAAGAATAATAATGACGTCATTTTTAAGTTTGATGGAGATTTTTTAGATAAAAGAAAAAATAACATAACAGAAAAACTAAACAAATAAGAAAGAAAATTTTTTCATAAGATTGGAAAAATTTTATCTATTTGAAATAGTTCTCAGACATGTCGATTATAGTTTCATCTATTTTAATTTTTTGAGTATTGACACTTATATATGAAAATATGTTAAGAATCGAAGAAGAAAAAAATCAAATGAGAAATAAAGAAGATGCATTTTTTTTTCTGTTTTAAATTTTCTTATGTTTGATGATGATAAATTGATTTTAAACGAGAAATAAAACTTAAGCTAATTTAGTTTCAAAACACAGTTGACATTGTCATTTCGTATATGATTCATGATATTATAGATTTAAAAAGATTAGTTATTATGATGATTATAGTTATATTTATTAGGTTTAATTATAGACTTAATGTTGATTTCGAAGTTCTTCTCTTTGAATTTCACAAAACTGCAGATCTCTAGCTGTTGTTCTTGTCAAGTTATTGAACTTGTATCAATCCCTTTTTAATTTTGATTATTTGTATCATTCAAATATTGTATTCTTACTATCATCCTCGCGATAGTAAATTTCAAATTTTTGATGTAACTATTTTTAGAATGATAGAATTCAAGAGAAAAGATAATTATATTTATATGAGCTCAAATTCCTAGGAACTTTACTAAATTTTTAGAAATTTTTAGTAACTTCGATACGTAGATCTCATAACTTTTACCAATATGAGAGCTGCTATCTGATGAAAATAAACTTATATTTTCATAAATTCTTAAATCTTAGAGACTATCTACAATGTGATAGTGAAAATCGTGCATGTCAATAATAGATATAAACATGATATTCTTCTCATTTGATTAATACTTATAATTTACATTAAAAGATGACTTCAGCTAATGCTTAGTATTATAATAATAAATTTTAAATAAATATTTAGACTCCAAAACGTCCAGCATCGGATGATGTGTCAACATTAATTGTTGATAGTCCACGTCGTAAATTAATAAAAACAAATCAACAAAAAGAAAATGGTCGAACATCTCCTACAACAAATGGAAATTTTACTGAATCAGAAATGATATCTTCTCTTCCATCATCATCATCATCAACAAATACTGAAGATGATGAACAAGAATTGCTAAGGCTTACTGAACAAACACCAAAATTATCCATGTTGGATGATGACGATGATGATGATAGTGATGATTTAACTCGAAAAGTTGAACAATGTCTGCGTCATAACAGTGAACAACCATTAGAAGATCATTTTATGGAAATTGATCAACCTTCACAAGGTAAAAAAAAAAACAAGAAGTTTTATGTTTTTTTTTATTTAAATTAATTAAAATAAAATTTTTTTTTAGATTTATCAAATGAAAATTCGAAAGAAAAATCTAATCGTCGTCGTTCACATTTTCGTCGTTTTTCTTTATCAAAAACTTTTCATAATTCATCATCAAATGAAGAAGAATTAGAAAAACCATCTCGTTTACATCGAACACGTTCAGTTTCAACAACAATACCAATAAATAATGAAATAAAATCTAAAATAAATTTATCACGTCGACGAAAATCATATAGTAGTACAGGTTTAACAATTGATTCGAATAATATTCAAATAGATAAATTAAATAATAGTGATAAAAATTTAACAACAAATAATCTTGAAAAAGTAAATTAAATTTTATTTTATTTTTTTTTTATATGATCATTGAGGTTTTCTTTTTTTGTTATTTTAAAATAGAAATCAACTTCATCAAAAATAAAATCTTCGTTGTCAAATTTTGTTATTCCAACATCAAAACAATCATTTGCAAATCGTGTTAAACGAGCCTTTTCACGTCCGCATCGAGCTTCACCATCATCACGTCGTCTTATTCATTCCATTGTTTCAACATCATCATCATCATCATCAACTTCATAATAATTAATGAAAACATTTGATTTTATTCGTTTATCAGATGTCATATACATATATATATATATATACATAATTTTCATTTGTACCGTTTTTTTTTGTCTCAGTATCTCTCTGTGTCCGTAAAATTTATGAAAGAAAAGAAAAATTTATATTCATTTGTAAATAGGCGAGAGAAAAATTTTGTTCAGTTATTTTGTGAATATTATATTATATATTTGAATATCTGTGTTTGTGTGTGTGTGTGTCTTTGACAAAGTCTAAATGTTCATATGTGTTCTTTTGTTTGTTTGTTTGTTATACTTCTTTTTTTTTCTCAGGTATTGTGACTCCAATGAAGATAGCCAATTCAGATTTTGTTATTATATATTGCTTTGTTTTTCTTTGTGTTCTTTTTGTCCCGTTTCTCCTTTTGTATTATTCATTATATATACAGTAGTTAATCATAGAATTGAGACAATTTCATTAAAAAAAAAATATCAATCGCTTTGTTTAATTGCTCTTTTTTTCTTGTTTTCTTTTCTATTAGTGAATACGAAACCTAGCAATGAAATTAAAGTTTCTTTTCTTTTGATTTATTTCTAGATTATGAAAATAATTTTATTGATGAATTTTGATTTTTATTATAAAAACATCTGTCAGTGTAATCTATCAAGGGTTAAATTAGGAAACATGATATGATTACCATGGTCTATGACAAGGGTAGGGAAGGGATGCGCTATTAACATGTCTGAAAATATTGGACTCGATGGGCTCTAGTCGTTTGAGAAAAACGTAGAGTGCGCTAGCCATCGAATACAAAAAAAAACGGAAAGAAGTATCTCATATCTTCGTGGCGACTATCTATTTCGATTAAAAAATTTAATTGAGAGTATCAAAGTACAATTCGACTGGGTCTGGGTCCGAAAATTTTAGACCCGACGAGTAAGTTCTAACTTACATTCATCGTCACGCACCCATTTTCAATGTTCCTGCAGAATACTTTAAAACTAACATATTATGCTAGGAATTGTCCTAGCATCATATATCGAGAGGTCCAAATTTTCTACTCTTATACTTCAACACTCTTTTTACATGATCTTCTACGAAAATGAGCATTTAGTACACTCCAAATGAGACAGTATAACTATGAATCCTAACAAGTTTTTTTTTAATTTGAATTAGTGATTTACGAGGTGGTCTTCTCAGATATCGCTTCCAATGTCAATGATTTTTTCGTCTATAGATACTACATAGTTTTCTAATAAAAACTCTAAAAGGATTTTGGTTTCTATTGTTATTTAATTAAGCTATCGAATTTTTCATATGTCTATTTTCTAGACCTTAGACTTTCGGAAAACTCGTATTTCAGAATTTTGATCTGAAGCTTTACTCTTATAAAGAACTTAACTAGATTAACTTCCATAAGAAAATTCAAAAGTTTTTAACAAAGTCTCTTCGGGATATGAAGCTGTCAAAAAATGCGTGTTGTGTACACTATGCACGGAAAAGGATCTATATCTTGAAAGTCTCATATCTCGAAGAGACTTTATTTAAAAGCTTTGAATTTTTTTTAAGCAAATTAGTCTAGTTGAGTTCTCTATATGTGCAAAGTTTTAAATCAAAATTCGAAATAATGATTAATTTATAAGAAAGATTTTTGTGTTATCGTTACAATTTTAAGTGAGATATTCTAAAAAAATTATATAATATTTCAATTTCTAATTAACATATGACATGAATCAAATTAACCATGGATTTTTTTTTTCAGATGGATTTATCTGAAATTCGTATTCTTCTATTAGGCGATGATAATGTTGGTCGAACATCGTTAATTTATTCTCTTGTTAGTGAAGATGTAGTTCCATCTTCTTCAAATTTAAATTTAACGGGTGATTCACTTCGTCCAACAACAGATGATATTTCAATACCACCTGAAGTAACTCGAGCACGTGTTCCAACTGTTATTATGGATTATTGTGGTCGTCAACCAATGTCACCCGATGAAATCGATGATTTACTTTTACCAATGGAATGTCCATCACCAAATCCTCTTCTTCAATCATCTCGTTCTCTTTATTCATGTATTCGTCAAGCACATGTTATATGTCTTGTATATGCATTCGATAGTCGTGAATCTCGTGATCGTTTATTAACTGTTTGGCTTCCATTAATTGATCGTAGTGCAACAACAATTCCAATAATACTTGTTGCTAATAAATGTGATTTAATTGATGAAAATAATGATAATAAAAATGATATTAATCATGAAAATCGTGAATTTTTTCGTTTAACAATGTTAAAATATTCACGTATTGAAGCATGTATTGAAACATCAACACGAACAATGAAAAATATATCAGAATTATTTTATTCAGCACAAAAATGTGTTTTATATCCAATAAATTATTTACAAGAACAAAATAAATTAACAAAACGTTTTAAACAATGTTTAAAACGAATATTTACAATAGCTGATCAAGATAATGATCAATTATTAAATGATTTTGAATTAACAACATTACAAGATTATTGTTTTGGAAAAATTCAAACAAATGATCAAAAAACAACAATTGAACAATTAAAAAAAGAAATTAAACGAAGAACAGTACATGGTATTAAAATTATTAATGATCAAACAGGTTTAACAACAACAGCATTAACATATCAAGGTTTTGAATGTTTATTTGAATTATATTTAAATAAAGGAAAATATGAAACTATTTATACAACATTAGAACGATTTAGTTATAATAGAAAACTTGAATTATGTGTGCCAAATGCTCCTGATGGTAAATTTCTATTTTATTTATTTATTTTATTGATAATACGTTAAAAACATTCTTTTAACGGGTTGGGTAGAGAGGTTCAGCGAAAAACTAAAATATAAGAAAAACATAACACTTTTCTATTAAAATATTCGATAATGATTGAATTTTGAACTTTTTTTACCAATGTTTATTGTATATAACAAAAGTAAATCTTTATTCATTATGTAACCCATGTGTAGAAAGTCTTTATGCAATATATCTGATCAATTTTCGTCTACTTCTTATAAGTCACTAGAGTGAGTCAAAAGTAATTAACTAGAATAAGAATTTCATACTCTTTCTAATCATATATCCATAATTTTTCTGTAGCTTAAAGTTAGTTCATTGAGAAAAAAATCTTTAATAGAGGTCAAAAAAAAAGCGTCTATACAGAATTTTATATGTACTTCACTTTTCTATTTTACTCAAAATTGCCTCAAACTAAACTATAAGAAGGTGTTTTTATAAATCAGTTTGCAGAACTAGACTTGCTTTATAAAATAATAGATGAACTTCTCTTTTTGCATATCGATACAAACGATTGAAATCTATTGCGCTCGAAATACAAAAAATTCGAAAGAAACAATTTTTTTTGAAAAATACCGTTTAGTGTGATGAGTAACTGTTCGAAAAATGTTTATAGATTTCGATTCTTTTTTTTTTGATAGAAAATCAAGCTCTACAACGCTGGAAAGTCAAAACTATCCCAAAATCTCGTCTAGAGAGGCTATAAATGATAGAAAAAAGCCTGTTTTGCTTACGAGGAAATCATCAAAACTGATATCCGCTGTTTGAACTTATATGAAGCCAACAAATACGTTCTAGTAAGGCTAGGATTCGTTCCCTTGAGTCTTTGAAGTCAAATTAGGATTGTTTTACTGAACTTTTAATTCACATGTCAATACATATAGAAAAATTAAAAAGCAGAACTTTGACGTAGAATTTTTGTCGATAGATAACTGTAATGTTGCATAAAATATTCTAAAAGTTTCAGTCTAAAAGAATGTTTTTTTTTTTTGTCGACTTATTGTATTTTCAAGTAAACTTGATTTTTGTATCATGGCTGTGACAAACGATTATTTTTTGGAAATTAAATATCTCGACAAAAGAACATTCTTTTTTGACTGAAAACTTTCAGGATATTCTATAGATCATTAAATTTATCAATGAACAAAATATTACGTTGAAATTCTGTTCTTTTTTGGTGCATTTAGATAGTTTTTCTCGTTAGAGCAAATAGTATTTTGATCTATTTAATTATTTGTTTACAGCTTACCAGCTCTGAATAAAAAAACATTTGTGAGTATACATTTTGAAAGAACATCAAATTCTGTTTGTAATTGATTGCTTTTAATCCTCTTCAATGGTATTCGAATGTCGGAAAAACATAGTTACCAATACTTTTTTATTCTGCGTTTTCTACGAACGTGTCCTTTCAAGTTATCATCAATGATTTGTTTTCAATGGACTAATTTTATACTAGAAAAACAAACTCTAGATATACCGTTACAAAGAACATGAAATTCTGATTCTAATTTCTCTTCAGTGACTTATAATTACACAAAAATTGACTAGACATATTGTACAAAAATTTGTTACACGTAAATCAAGTATTTTAACTTTTTTTATTCTCCGTACAATTGTTTTTTTTTCTAATCTTTACTAATATAAGAAAAATATCGGAGAACTTAACTAAATCTCAAAGTTTTGTATATAGATAAAATATGATTTTTGTTTGTATTAGATCTTACCGGTGAATTATCACCATCAGCAGTTGATTATTTAACACGATTATTTCGTCGTTTTGATAGTGATAATGATTCATGTCTTACATTAAATGAATTAAATCAATTATTTGAATCTTTAATTGATATAATTCCTCCAATATCTTCATCTTTATCAAATATAAAACATTGTATTTATCTACGTTTATCATTAACATCATCAAAGACTCCACTTTTAACATTATCCGGTTTTCTTGCACAATGGTTTTTTCTAGCTCATAGTCAACCATCATTAACATATTCATATTTATTTCAGTTAGGTTATTCTTATGGTCTATCAATAATAGATGATACAAATTTACCATCTCGTATGACATATATATGTCATGTATATGGTATGCCAGAATCTGGTAAAAGTTCATTTTTAAAAAGATTTGTTTCATCAACAATTTATCAAGTACATCATTCTGCAGATTTAGCTGAAAAATCTAAT